GAGTTGTGAAGGGCTGCAATGATGATGATGATGATGATGATTCATAATAAGCAGATAAAGAGTGTTTATTGCAAAATATACACTCCACGCCGTAGTTACGGGTACGAAAATAGATTTCAACCTTCAATTTCTTCCCGAAATGGCATATAATCTGGTAACAACCTTATTTCCGTTTGCCGGATCGTGATTTAAAGATTTCTTATGTTTACGCGAACACTACACATTAAATGAAACTAACTTTTACGGATTTTATCGTGTTTAATTTAACTATTTAATTCCCGACGTTTCGGGAGCTTTACATCACCCGTGGTCACTGGGGGACTGAGATGTTTTTTATAAAGAATAAGAGTGACAAACGAGCACACAGTCCACCTGATGGTAAGTGGATGCTGTGACCCATAGAAATCTACATTTATCCTCAATTAAGTATCAATAGGCAGATACGTTGTCACCCCTAAGAACTAAAATGTAATGCCTCGTTTCCAGTAAAAAAGAGTTTCTGGATCTCTATACTCACCATACGAAACAAGGCAGTACTAAGCTGCTATTTTACGCTGGTATTCTGTAAGTCTGTCTGGTCCTTCTCCGGTCGAGCCGACCAATTCGCGCTACAACCATAATATAGCTTCATCGTGGCTCTACCACGTATTAAAGTACAAAAGCAAGTATTGCAAGACAACAATTTTGTAATTTCTCTCACAGAATACCAGCGTAAATAGCAGCGTGCTGTGTTTCTTATGGTGAGTATAGAGACCGGAGTTCCTTTTTACTGGAATCGAGGCATTCCATCTTTGTTCTCAGGGGTGACAACGCATTTGCATTTTGATTCTTAATTGAAGATAAATGTGGATGTCTATGGGCCACAGCATCCACTTACCATCAGGTGGACTGTGTGCTCGTGTCACCCAATGCTATTAAAAAAAAACTTCGGGTTCGGTGCCTACGTCACAGTGACCGAGTGAAGCCGACCACAGTTGACAGTGTGCCTGCTGTACTACTTTGAGCTTCCATTTAAACCTAGTACAAGCCGCTGAAGAAGATTAGTAAATTTTTACCATCTGCTAAGTGCAATATTTCTCTACAAGGTGCACGAGTGTACAAGCTTGATTGTGAATATGGTATTTCGTACAAAGGACAAACAAAAAGATCTATAAAAGCCCGCGTAAAAGAAAATATAGCTATTGTAAAGCACCGACGTTCCGGGAAATCTGCAGTATGTGAACATGTTCAAGATGGACCCCGCCATACATTACATTATTGTGACTTGATAGATCACATATCCTCCTAGAAGAACACCGATTCCTACCTAGGATGATTCGCGAGGCTATTGAAATTAATAAACATCCTAACTTCACTACAGAAGATGGATGGGTACTACGATCTGGTTAGAATTCTATAATTAATAAAATTAAATCCAAGCCCAAGCATATCACTGCAAGACTTCAAGATACTGTAAGTTCATTCTGCGTAGATCGGACCAAAAATTTATGTCAAAAACTGAAGGTAGCCGTGCTAACTATAACATGGAGACGTCAAACATCTCAGTCCCCCTTCCCCCCTCCCGTTACAATGAGTGCTGTAAAGCACCCGAAACGTCGGGAACTAAATATTTAAATTAAACGCGATAAAATCCGGTGAAATAGTTTCATTTATTGGTTCGTGATTTATCACGACTTGATTAAATTATTATTTATTTGCGTTTGACCTCCCATAAGCGTATGAACGCAATTATCGAAAGCTGTCCAACAAAATGGATTGTCATAATGATTCGTCATGTGTCACTAACAATTTTCTTCGTGTTCGGTTTTTCTTCCATTTTCCTCATTGTATTGATGGATTACGTAAAAGGAATCTACTTTAGTACGTATTTAAAGTATATAATGATTTTGATTTTATATAAAGATTTTGAAGTACATAATGTGAATATATAGCCGTTTTGACGAATTGTTTTTAATGAGATTGTACATATATGTAAGTAGATCGTTAAGGGGCAACTCGAGCCGGTATGAAATTAACGAACGGCGAAAAGGGCAGAATCAGGTACCACTTTAAAATACACAGTAAGAGATACTCATAATATATTGATAGAACAAAATTCATTCCGAAAACATGCAACTGAAACAAGTACTTTTTCTCTCACAGTGATCAAAAGCAAGGTAAAATGTTTTATTTAGCCAAATCAGTAACCAGGACAAAAACTTCGTTGTATATTAACAAAAGAAATGCCTAAGCCTTAAAGTGACGATAACAATTGTTAAACACCTTATTACCAAAAGTGCTTTCTTAAAGTACATTGACTGTATTTTAAATAAAACTTGGCTTTATTCCCACTCCGTTTTCCACAAATAATCTCATCTAAAGATCTTTTTTAAGGAGAAGGGAACCTGTTTAACAGAATTCAGTAACTTTTGCAGACTTTCTTTGTCTTTTTCCATTTAAATAAGTCTTAAAATATGCCGAAGTAGGTTCTCAAATTTCACCAAACTTTAAAAATATAATATTTATTTTAAAATATTGTTTTACCTAAGCACTATGCTCTATGACTTCAATAGTGTCTCCCAACGAATAGGTCTTAAGATGAACATGGACAAAACAAAGATCATGTTTAATGTCCATGTCACACCTATGCCGGTAGTTTTTGGCAGCACTAAGCTCAAAGTTGTTGACGAGTACGTTTACCCGGGATAAATAATCGGACTAGGTATGTCCAACTTCGACCGAGAGGTAAATCGACGGATTCAACTCGGCTGGGCAGCGTTCAGGAAATTACGACACATATTCTCCGTATACCTCAAAACCTGAAAACTAGATTGTATAACCAGTGCGTGCTGCCAGTGATGACTTATGGAAATGAGACGTGGTCTTTCACTGCTGGCCGTATGAGTACGCTCAAGGTCGCTCAGCGAGTTATAGAGAGGGCTATGTCCGTGATTTTTCTGCGTGATAAACTTAAAAATGAGGATATCCGCAGTAAAACAAGAGTGACCGACATAACCCAACGGATTAGTAAGCTGAAGTGGCAGTGGTCCGGCCATATAGCTTAAAGAACCGACAACCGATGGGGAAAAAGGTTCTCGAGTGGCCATACCGGTAGGCACAGTGTAGAGTGACCCCCCACTAGATGGAGGGACAACCTGGTAAGACATGCAGGATGTCGATGGATGCAGGTGGCTCAGGACCATGCTTTGTGACATCCCTTGAGGCAGGCCTATGTTCAGCAGTGGACTTGTGAAGGACTGTAATGATGATGATGATGAACCATTACCATTAATCATAGGGCAGTCTCTGATAGGCAACTAATTTATTACATTCAAATATTATACCCGTAGGTAAGTATACATTTTTACTCTTACATAGTATGTTAGATATGTACTTCTTGTTGTTATTCTTCTTTATCAGTACTCTGAATTCCACTCTTACCATGTAGTGGCGGTGTAAGATATCAGAGTTGTACTATATAAGTACACAGCGCCGTAACTTCGGAACTTTGATAAATCGATTTATACTTCGGTGTGTTTGACAACGCAGCTATATCACCCCCCTGCTCAGACCGGTAGTCGATGGTGCATTCTAGTTGTCGCGAATGTGCAAGTGCCAGGAATTGCCTTGTAATCTATGACGAAAAAGTGACGTGAAGCAGAGGCGAGCAGTAAGACTCAAAGCCGTGCCGAATACTGTATAGTGCAGAGAGTAGCTTGAAGGAACAGTAACCATTATTATTCCAGTGCTGCGATAAACCTTGTGAAGCTAGATGGCTTGCAGGATATAAAGACTGCAGACGATATCTGCTCGGATGGGTGGGGTATTTTTATGACGATGATGAAGCTTGAAGTTTTCGAAGGTTGTTGGTTGCGTGTTCAGATCACGTCGGGGTCACCACTGGCTGAGGAAAGAAAAGGGGGATCTCCCGCCGGGCAAGGTGTTCTGCCCGGGGAGCGGCCAACACTCCGTGTGATAGTTCGGAGATGTTCTATTTACTGTTTGTGATCCGGAATTTTGATAGCGTGATTTCGGCTTCGGTGTGATTCGCTTGCGGCGCGACGACAGCGCCGCCACATGCCCTTTCCTTCAAATACAAGGTATCTTTAAGGCAAGGGTGTGTGTCATTTTTCATCTTAAACTATATAACAACTTAGACTAGTGTTACCCAAATGCGAATGCGAAGAACAAGACGAGACTTAGCCAGTCTTGGTTTTGGTCTTACACCAATACACCTGGTCTTGTTCTTGGTCTTGGTATTGCGCTCTCAGTCTTGTTCTTGGTCTTGGTCTTGCAGCAAGAGTCTCGCAAGTCTCGCAATTACCTATTAGCCTATTGTTATTTATTAAACGTTACTTTAGATCTTAGAACAACTTAACAGAGTAGACACATTTTGAGCTTGAATTAACATAGCCATAGAAAGACCAACCAAATTAATAAATGTCTAAACATTTAATGAGAAATTCGAAAAATCAACTAGTACCGGATGGGGTTTTAACCCACGACCTAAGCGATCCGTGCCGATGCCAAGTCTCACGGCCACGGGAGTTAGTCTGTTTCTTAATAAACGTTTACATTTAATAAGCTTACATGTGTTAAATTATGCTATTAGTCGTGAGTCGTGAGAATACTGGTTTGCGATACATAATGAACCCGCAAAAATCTCCGCCTACGACCAAAGTTGGTCTTGTTAGTTCCCAGCCCGATAATGCAAAATGCGATACCGAGGTTACACAGCAACGTAATATTACCCTCCAAAGTTCGAAAAGAAAACAACCAGAAGAAGCAATGAAATCCGAATTAAATGATTTTAGGAAAGAGATAATGTCCTTTCTTACTGAATTCAAAACTTCGTAAGAGGAGAATATTAAAAAATATATGATGAAGTATCGTCATTAAAGGAACAACTAAGTAATTTAAAACAAATTTCAGATATTCTTTCTCAGGACCAAGTAACTATTAAGGATACTTTAACTTCTATGCACTCAGCTCAAAAGGCTACGGCAAAAACAATTACCGAAATGCAAGCCTCCTTGGAATTCTCATCCAAGCGCATCGATACCCTACAGGAACGTGCAAATTGTTCAGAAGAAAAACTTAAGATACAAAGTCGTGAAATTACCGAAATGCAAGTGATATTAGAAAGTCTTTCCTTCAAAACCCAAAGACAAGAGCAGTGGGCACGTCAGTTAAATGTAGAAATGGTGGGAGTACCAGAAATTAAAAATGAAAATCTAACAAATATAGTATTAAGCATGGCAGAAAAAGCAGGTGTTGTGTTGAGCGCCGGCGATATAAAAAGCTGCACAAGAGTATAATCGAAAGATCCCGTTAAAGGTCGACCCCGCAATATTATTGTTACGCGCATAAGTCGACGTCATGTACAAGGCACTAGCGCCATCTGGTGTCGGGTAACAGAGCGAGAAGAGCTTTCCAGAAAATACATGATTCGTCTTTCAACCAACAGCGCCATCTAGTATCGAACAGAAGAATTAAACTTTCTAGAAGCTCTACACTCGATCTTTCTACGCTTGGTCGGTTGGCGCGCGTATTTACTCGAATATTCTGGATGTTTTCGTGGAAGAGCCCTATATAAAGGCGCTGCAATACGCGATCGGAGAAGTATTGGATTTGGCGAGACAAGCGAAGCTTCGGAGCGGAATAAAGTGAATCAGCGTGATAAATTTTTAGTGTTTTAAGTTTTAATTGGTGTAAAGAAAATTAAAGTGTTAATTTAGGTAATTTTATCGGCAATTTTTATTGTCACGAACCTCAAGCTCGTAACAATTGGTGTCAGAAGTGGGATAAAATCATGCCGATTTTACCTAAGGAGGAAACGGAGGGTGTTCGTACCCGCAGTCAACGCCAGCATGAGACGGACCAGAGAAGATTTGGTGGTGCAACGCCGCAGGCGTCGGAGGGCCAGCCGCCGGCAACGGAGGCCGGTCCGTCAGTAGCTCCTGCATCTGCAGCACCTGATTTAGGCGCCCTGATGGTGATGCTGCAGGAGCACGCCCGCCGACAGGAGGAACAGGCTCGTCAGTTCGAAGAGCAGCTGAAGCGCGGACAGGAGGAACAGGCCAGTCAGTTGAAAGAGCAGCAGGAGGAACAGGCCCGCCGACAGGAGGAACAGGCCCGCCGACAGGAGGAACAGGCCCGCCGACAGGAGGAACAGGCCGGTCGCTTAGAGGAGCAGCTCAAACGCGATAGGGAAGAGCAGATGCTTCTCATGAAGGACCTTCACGCTACCTTCGGGAAAGAGATAAGGGAGGTGAAGGATAAGGTTGCTCAACATGATAACCGCATGTCGGAAGCTGAGACCCAAATCAGCCAAGTTAAGAAAACGCTGGATGAACTCAAACTTGGAGATGGAATTGCAGCCCCCGCAGTAGCTGCTACACCTTCGCTACGTGGGTTCAAGGTACCACCGTTCAACGGGACTTCTTCCTGGTCGGCCTACAAAATCCAGTTCGAGGCCGTCATGGAGGCAAACGGCTGGAATAAAAGCCAGGCCATGACTGCACTCACCTTAGGCCTGCGCGACCAAGCCTTAACTGTGTTGGAAGCTCTCGGTAAGAAAGTGACCTACGAGCAGCTCCTTGAGGCATTGGAGGCGAGATATGGTGACGCTCACCTGGAACACGTCTTTCGCGCGCAGCTTAAAGATCGCGTGCAAGGCAGCAACGAAAACCTGCAGCAGTGGGTCCTTGAGGTGGAGAAGATGGTTCGAAAAGCATACCAGTCTGTACCTGCGCTCATTGAAGGGAACCTGGTTCAGACATCATCGACGGAATCCGCGACCTTGAAGTCAGAGCTGTTGTGAGGCTCGGGCACCACGAGACGCTTAAGGACGCCTTGGCCCATGCACTGGAGGTGGAAGCCGTGCGGCAGGATCTTCGCTCCCATTGCGTCAGGGAGGTTGCATCAGCTACGGTTCGCGACCGCAATAAAGGATACAGCCCTATGTGCTATGGCTGTGGGGAAAGGGGCCATCTTCGCTCCAGCTGCCCTAAGCGAACTGTAGAAAGGAGAGCTAATCGATCTCGAGAGGGTAGTGCAGCTAACGGCACCGCCTGGCGGTGGCAGCAACATCATTCCCCTCACGCTAGGGAGGTTGCAGCAGTTCGCGACCACAATAAAGGATACAGCCCTAGGTGGTATGGCTGTGGGGAAACGGGCCATCTTCGATCCAGCTGCCCTAAGCGAACCCCAGAAAGGGTAGGTGAACGATCTCAGAAGGGAAGTGCGGCTAATATCACCGCCCAGCAGCAGCCGGGATACGACTTTACTATCAGACATCGCAGCGGGAAATCTCATGGCAACGCAGATGCATTGTCAAGAAGACCTTGTCCTGAATATTGGCAACATTGTACTAGGCAAGAGAGTAAGGATGTGGTATCCGTGAGAATGCTCAGGACAGACCACCTCAGCAACGAGTGGAAGGACAGCCTACGACGTGCACAGCAGGAAGATCCGGACATCAAGCCGATTCTGGAATGGATGAAGGCCCGTGCTACCAAGCCTAAGTGGAAGGACGTCTCAGCGATGAGTTCAACCACGAAAAGCTATTGGGCCCAATGGGACAGCTTGCTGATTCAGGATGGAGTCCTGTGCCGTAAATGGGACAATGGTCGAGAAGACAGCTGTCGTTTGCAAATGGTTGTCCCTAAAGCTAAAGTGCCGAATGTTCTACAGCTGTGCCATAATGGTCGTTCAAGAGTCCATCTGGGAGTTAAACAAACTCTACTGAAGGTCCGAGAACGGTTTTACTGGGTCCATTATCGTGACGATGTCGAGGATTGGTGTCGTACATGTACAAGTTGTGCGGCTGCGAGGGGACCTTAGACACGTAGTAGAGGAGCATCGAAATTGTACAATGTTGGTGCACCACGGGATAGGACAGCCCTTGACATTGCGGAGCCGTTACAGGAAGGCGCCAGAGGGACTCCTAAGATCGTCCATGCGGATCGCTTGGCGCGTTATTATGGGTCCGATAATGCTCGGGACGAGCATTGTCTTAGGAGGGGGCAGTGTTACGCGCATAAGTCGACGTCATGTACAAGGCACTAGTGCCATCTGGTGTTGGGCAACAGAGCGAGAAGAGCTTTCCAGAAAATACATGATTTGTCTTTCAACCAACAGCGCCATCTAGTATCGAACAGAAGAATTAAACTTTCTAGAAGCTCTACACTCGATCTTTCTGCGCTTGGTCGGTTTCGTGGAAGAGCCCTATATAAAGGCGCTGCAATACGCGATCGGAGAAGTATTGGATTTGGCGAGACAAGCGAAGCTTCGGAGCGGAATAAAGTGAATCAGCGTGATAAATTTTTAGTCTTTTAATTTTTAATTGGTGTAAAGAAAATTAAAGTGTTAATTTAGGTAATTTTATCGGCAATTTTCATTGTCACGAACCGCAAGCTCGTAACATTATTATAAAAATGTCCTCCCGTATTCATAAGGATAATCTCATTGCTGGCGTCAAAAAACATCGTGGCATCACTACTGGAGATCTTGGGCACGGAGTTGAACTCAAGAAAATATTTGTTAACGAGCATTTAACTCTTGATAACAAGAGGTTATATAAAAAGTGTCGAGAAATAGCTACCGAGCTAGGCTATAGGTACATCTGGATAAAAAACTGCAAAATATATGTTCGTCGAAACGATACGTCACCACACATTATTGTCAATTCAGAATTGGACTTAAAATAGTTGAAAGTATACAATAATAGTTAGATAGACATTTTTTCATAATGTAAGGATACATTATGAAAAAATGTCATATTATTGTCATAAAGGTACGTTATTTTATTCTAAAATATTATATAAAAAATACACACACACATTAAACACTAACACACAACACATCATAAACACCATTATACAATTTATAAATTGCAACCATAATCAATTTCAAAGGCAGTCGATCTACATTATACATCACAAAATTATCTTATTTTCTTTCTATCTATCAATACACATAATATATACGCATCAAATCATTTCCCAGTTTTTTGCATACGGTCGGTTTATTTAAACTCACAAGTACAAAGACTGTGCCTATTAATATCAATTGCTCAATCAAATAATATGTTTTTCTATTTAATTAAACTGTTTGTCATAATCATTACCAGCTGATACAAATTATAATAGTATGTATTAGATTTGGGTACATGTTTACATTTAAGTATGTATATGCATGTGTGTATATACATTGTGTACATTTATATATATGCATTAGTGAGTTAACTATGTTTAAAATTTATTATTTATTTTATTTATTATATGTTAAAATAACAAGGCGAAATGATAATTTACCAGTAGGTAAGACACCAATATCTGTCTATTATCAAAATGCACGGGGATTACGTACAAATCTTCATACGCTTTATCTAGAAATATTAAATAGTGATTATGACATCATTATTTTAACAGAAACCTGGTTTCACGATGGTATCTTGGATGAGGAGATCTGTGATAATCGGTATATTGTGTAGACAGGATCGTATACTAACGGAAACAAGCAAATCATCAGGTGGAGGTGTGGCAATCATAAATTGTCGTACACTTAGTGCGACTATGGACGATTTGTGGAAACAGCCGTGCGCTTCTATCGAGACGCTCTAGATAACAATACCGGTACTGAGTCATACGTTCACAACACGAAGCGCGTACGTTCCCTCGCGCCATGCCCCTCACACCCCGCTTGGACAAAAAGTGCATATCATAACTACTTATATACCGGGTAAATCGTCAAAGCATCGTCGTACGGATGAAATGCACGCAAAAGATATTAAATCGTTCTTGGAATAGTTTAGTAGTAGAATTATCTCGCACGACTTTTATGTAATAGCGCGTGATTTTAATTTATCTAATATACACTGGAATGATAGTGGACCTACAATACTAAGACAGGGTTTTACCGAGCTACAAACTAAAGGGGAGTAATTAATAAACGAACTAGCCTACTATGGTTTCCGACAATACTCCAATATAAAAAACAGTTGCAATAACACATTAGATTTAATTTTCTCTAATATGGACATAGAAATAATATTATGTGACAAACCCTTAACTAAGATAGGTATATTTCATCCTCCCTTCGAATTTGACTTAAATGTGGCTATCCCTCCTCTCAAATGCTCTTTTATTAAGAAAAATAAGTTTTATTCAGCTGATTTTGTTAAAATAAACACATATTTATGTGAAATCGACTGGGCCACTCATTTATACACTGGACATGTTGAAGAAGCTGTAGATTTCTTTTACAAACAACTCAATTATTGCATAGACAAATATGTACCAAGTGTAATATCTCT